CTGGTAGCCCTTGGTGTGCGGGTTTAGGAGCTGCGCTCTTCAGTTCTTCGGGTGAGTTTTGTGCCTTCTTTTCCTTTTGTTTAGACGCCACTGGCCGTGAGGCATTGGGAGAGAAGCATAAGAAGACCATCATATTTGAACTAGAATTCCTCGCGCTTGTCGTTGCGCTGGTGCACTGGAAGGCCAAACTGACCAACCGACCATGTGTCGCTTACCTTGACAACAACTCTACGCGTGACGTTGCCATTTCTGGCAGAGGAAGAAATCCCACTGCTAAGGCATTGGCGTCCGTCCTCCTGGCCCTTGAAGACGCCGGAGAAGTGCGCTGTTGGTATGCACGCGTCCCGTCCCCCAGCAACGTCGCGGACCTCCCGTCCAGGGAGCTCTGTGCCACGATGAATGTGCTGGGACAGACTCGTCATGCGGATGATGCAAGTGCTGCTTTGAGCAGTTGCCTTCAGCTGCTCAAGCCTTCAGGGTCGTAGGCGGTTAAATGGGGTGAGGTTTGCTTTGACTCCGTAGCTTGCAGTGTCGCACGCAGCCTTGCTGTGCACCACTTCTAGAGCAGCACGCCTTGCTGTGCTAATGCAACTTGCATTGCTGTGCACCTTGAAGGAAGCTTCGTTGAGGCACTTGAAACTTCACTTGTGCTGTCGACTCCACAGAGTTTGCAAGTGTGTGGGCTGTATGCCCCTTCTGCTGCATCAGTATCCTCTCATCCGAGAGTGACTGTCGCACGAATCCCACTGGCACCGCAGGAAAAAACGAAGGTGAGTCCGAGTGTTGCGCGTCGCTTTGGTTTAAGGCTTGTACTCTGGGTGACACTTTAGGTTAGGGTTCAGTGCTTGTGCCCCCGCCTTGCCCTAACCCTAGCTTGCAGCTGTTTGGCTCGAGGTGGCTCAACTTGAAAGAGGCTTTAAAAAATATTAAGTTTCATGATTTGCGTTTGCAATCGCTGCCGTGTATGATGCTGTGTTTCTGCTGAACGTGGGGTCTTAGAGGGGGGGGGGGTAGCATATATATATATATACATACGCACATATAGGAGTATGTATATATATATAATATAGATATGTATGCATACATACATAGAGCCTCAGCATCGAAAGCCCAAAGATCTTTTCCGCGCAGGTATTAATTCCAAAAAGTCATTGCCTACACCCACGCAAATTAAGAGTACCTAAGTTTAACCCTATATAAGTTCCAAATCGATGCCTATTGAATCATGAGCCTAAAACCAAAAGCCGCGGTGGCCTACAGGATGTTCTGACCAAATATGCATCATTTTCCTCGGAGAAGATTGGATCCCGAACCCTCCATGACTTCGGCCCTAGCTGAAGCTTATCCACTCGATTATAGTCGGCCCTGTCATCCTATGTTGAAAAACAGATTCTCAACCAATGCATCGCAAAACATATATGTATGCACGACCCCGAAATCTGAAACCTATTGCCGAAATCCGAAGCCTAAACCCTTATCTAGGGCACGAGGTTAGGGCGATCTTAAGATCAATATTTTGAGGGTTGAAGCGACCTTCGCAAGGCCGACTGAAGCTGCCGCAGCCGCCAATCGTCGGAGCATGCGGCACCTGCGTCGGATGGATCTGGGCTTACGTATTGACCGTTTTTTATATGTATATGTGTATACATTCTAGCAGCAACTTAAATTAACACCAAGGGTTCGGGATGTTGGGCCTCAGGCCCGGAAGTTGGTTTTATAGGGTCGGGTTCGGAATTAGGGGTGTAGGTTGGGCCTCAGGCCCTGCGTTTAAGAAATTTGGGTTTAGGGTCGAGTTCGGGATTTGGGGTCCTGGCCGGGATCGGGTTAGGGTGCGCTTCATAGGGTCGGGTTCGGGATTAGGGGTGTAGGTTGGGACTCAGGCCAAGCGTTGAAGAAACTTGAGTTTAGGGTCGAGTTCGGGATTTAGGGGTTGAGGGTTCCTGGTTGGGATCGGGTTAGGGTGAATTAGCGGGTTATATGTGTGTATATGGGTTAGGGCAAGACAGCCCGAATCGGTCCCGGGTACCCCAACTTCGACTCGGGATTAGGGCTTAAGAAAATGGGGGGATCCTAGGGGCCTACTTGCCTGCCTTAGTCCCTATCTACCTTTCCTATTTATACCTGTCCCAGAAGCCTAAAAACCGAACGCCGGCGCCGCGGGCCCGGTTGTCGGGCGGTGCAGCCGTTGCCTGATGTGGCAATCGCAGCGAGGGAAGGTGCCCGTGCTCTGCCGCCAAGTGCAGCAGCTCAAGGAGGCTGAAACTTCACATCCAAATCGGGGTCTTCGTGATCCTCAGTGTGGCAGCGGGACGTCGCTCTCTCCAGTCCTGCAACAGCGTCTGACAGAGCGCACGCCGGATGTGCTTCATGCCATGAAGTGTGGCCCTTTGACATCTTCGGCCGCCTAATCCTCGCAATCTTCGTCCTCAGACGAGAGCATTTCCTCGACGCTGGTGCAAGGCGTCTCGGACGAGTATGTTAAGGCATCCAGCGCAAAGGTCTTTGCACAGATCGCGGGGTTCCTGCTTGCGCTGGACAAGAGCTGTCTCTTTCTGCAACCCCAAACCTAAAACCCAAGACCTCAACGCCGACAATTTCGGTCCCCCAAAAAGCTATGCAGCTATACTGGTATACCTAGTATCTATAGATTGCATGTACTTTGGCCCAGGTCTTTATGTACAGGGCGTAAGGGCACTGGGTTAAGGGTTTAGGGTTTGCCCCGGGTCAAGGGCTATCTATTCCAGCAACCGAAACCTAAACCCCAAGACCTGAAACAAGAAAACTTTGTCGAAAACCCTTAAACCGGAGACTTCAAACGTGAAAAACCGTCCAACCTACAACCAAAGACTCTGAAACTCAACGCCCTGAATCCGGAATCCGAAAGCCTTGCGTTATGATCGAAAAAGAATATTCAAACCCCAAGAACCCGATAAATCTGGACCCATTCATAAGACTCTTATTTCATCCGGAGTCCAAGAAATAGAACCCTCTAATTCCCTAACTCCTATAAAACCAGACAACATGAACCCAAAACTCTCGATCCTCGAAACTCAAAGCCCTGAACCCGAAAACCTTGCGTTATGATCGAAAAGAATACTCAAACCCCGAAGAACCCAATAAACATCTGGAGTCTGGACCCATTCATAAGACTCTTATTTCATCCGAATTCCTAGAAATAGAACCTTGTAATTCCCTAATTCCTGTTAAAAAAGTCAACATGAACCCCAAACCCTCGATCCTCGCCGCCTGGCCCGAGGTTATACCAGCGGACAGCCCATCGCATGTGAAACGCGAAAGGTGCCTGCATTTCGAAGCTGATGTTTACACTGGATGGTTATTTATATACATCTAGAACCCATCTCAATTCGGCACGTGCCGCCGATGGCAACTATGATTACCCGGGTTGGGTTTTTAGGGTTTAGCGTTTAGCATGCCATGTCTGTTAGCATGCACGAGGAGCCACTGTTGTTTCGAGGCGCTGTGCGATGCTCAATCCTACGAAAGAGGTCACTTCGAGGGGTTTTCGCAGGGTTAGAATATGTGTATTGCAAGGAGGTCGTTTGGAAGGCCCTCGTATTGACGAATTGAAATATATCTGACTTTTGAACATGTATATAGTTAGTATACGTTCCTCCTTGTTTGTCGTTGAAGACGTTCGATTGAACTTATTTGTTTTGCTTTCTAAAATGATGTGGATTTGTCATGTCGTCTGGTATATTTTTTTTGTTCCTGGCGTGTGGTTTGGTATTTGTCGGTGAAGATGTTTAATTGAATTTCAGTTTGCTTTGTATCTGTTTTTACAACATTGCCGTTGTATTCGCGTTCCTCTCTGCAAGCACTGGCTGGCACGATGGGCGGCCCTAAAGCCGCTTGTTGTTGTTTCGTTCTATTCCTTTTTCCCGGAGCGCAAAGCCAGCAGGGAGGGCCTTTGCAAGTCTTCGACGCCATCCAAGCCCCTTCGAAGCCTTTCGAAGCCCCTCCGTCGGTTTCACCTTCAAAGCGACACCCCCCTCCCCCGAAGCCCTTAAAGCCCCGCCCCGCAAAGAGGTCCAGGGAACCAGCCACCTGGTCCAATGTTTAATTTTGGGCGGTTGATCGTGAGTTTTCGGATTCGAGTTTGTTTAAAAAAATTGAGCGGATATCATACACCCGAAGTTAGCATTACATAGAATCGTGTGTGTGAATCCATGCTATGCATGCTAGCGTGCATACGAGGAGGTATATGCATACCTTTGCAGATGAGTCGCGGTCAAAACCCCGTTAGTTTAGGCTGTATTTTGGAATGACCCACGGTTCACGGTTGCCAACAGCCTTGGATTTTGAAGGCGGCCGCAATTGTATGCAAAGGTTGAGCGAAGTCAGAGGAAGCGTTTGCGTTGGCCTGGCTGATTCCCGATACCCCCGCCCCATACCACCCAACGGTCGGGCATAATTCGACAGTAACTGCTGTCAGTAGCTACAGGTAGGCAGTCCGCATGTGTCGCCAAAGCGGTGTGTAGTCCGGAAAGCTGTCTTTAGCACGCCGGATTAGCGTTTACGCTGCGCGTAGTATGCCGCAGGACTCGAATTTGTGAGCCCAAAATGGGGTTATGGACAAGAACGTAGTGGTACGGCGTACCGATACCCTACCGATACCCCAACAGATACCCAGCCTGCACATAAAAACATATTATGTTTTTTTGAGGTGTGCTAGTTTCGAAATGCACATGTTGGTGCATGAAACACGGATTCTCCTGTGCTAAAGAGTCCATGACAGTCCATGTAGCGAACTTGCACAAAAACACGTCTTGTCGTTTGGAAGATTTGCAGAATGCACGTAGGATCACTTGGCGATTGCTCACGTGTGGGCATTTCAGCAGCAGCTTTTCGGTGTCATGATTGCATAATGTAGCTGCTTGCAAGCTTGCAAGTTGTGGGTGTTCGCGCAGATGGAATGGAATTCCACGTCAAAAAGCTCTTATGATTCTGTTGAATTGAGATGATGCCGTCGCCCATATGCAATGGATGGAACGGATTGTGGCAAGCATGACGCAACTTGGCAAGAACAAGACATGTCGTGTCAATGTTGCAGAATGTTTCAGAGCCGTGTGAAGTTCCGACATTGCCAAGGACAAGTTGAAGCATCGTGTGTTGACGCTGCCAAGCTTGAGGGGTGGCTTGTTGGTTCATGCGCTCAAGAAGATCAAAAAGCGAACAGGAGTCCAAGGGGCTTGTAGGCATTCAGATGTGATCCGGGAGCATTGAAAATGCTGGCAACAACAGTTGTTGGTAGGCTCGTACGGCAATACCTCATGCGGCAGCTGTTCACAGGAGTACTCACCTGCGAACTACGGATGCTCGGTCGAAACAGCAATATGTTAGAGAATTCTGTATCGCCTTCGGACTTTTTTCTGCGGTCACACGTTGCAGGTACCTCGATTATGGAGCAGAGGAGCGGATGAAATGCCTTGCTTTCGCCGGAACTGTCATGCAAGTTTTTTTTTCGGAGGTGGTGATCAACGGGAAGCCCGGCAGCGTATTGAATTGCGAAGAAGCTGTACTGCAAGTTGCCGAAGGCAGCATTGATGGATTGGGCTTCGCAGAAGTCCGTCATGAGGTGGGGTGGGGAAAAACAAGCTGGGGTTGCAGTAAGCAAACGGTGGACAAGCGGCAGGTCTTTGCCAAGGAAGCAGCACATTTGGTCGTAACCACCCAGTCTGCTCGTTTCGAAGCTTTCTAGCAGGCGGCCGCAAGTCAGCGCGTGAACGCCAGGTATCCTTTCCGGCCGCCAAAAAGCTTGACACTGGCAAGGCCAAACTTCATCGGAGCCCGGCACAAGCCATTGGATGTATGACAGGCTCGGGCTGAGGTTTCGTAGTTCGCGTCTTGGGGTTCTACCCAACTCTTTGTCTGCAGGTTGCGACCTTATCCTCGATGAAGCACAGTCGCAGATGCTTGTGGTGGGTCCTTCTGAAGCGGTGGCTCGCGGTGCTGCAAGGCTTGCAGCATCTCGGTGCCGGCAAGATCGGGCATAAAGTTTTCAGTTTTCTGACATGGGCAGGCCAAAGGTGAAACTCATTCATTGTTTTTCATGAGCTCATGTGGCCCGTCTTTGCTGAAGCGAGTGCATCGACATCGAGTTGCCGCTCCAGACGCATGTCCGATGTACCAGTGTTTCCATATGTCTCCATGTTCATGCTTGTGAACAGAGGATAAATTTCTGGCATCGCGGAGTCATGATCTTTCTGCTGTCGTCAAGGCACCTTCTGTGACTTAGTGTTGTCGGGCTGTGCTGTAACATTTGTTTGCCATGCATGCCGCATTTGTTGTGCAGATCGACACTTCGGGTGTCCTGGTGGCAGATCACATCCTTTGTTAGCGGGCATGTCCTGATGCAAGATTTCCTGCATTGGCACTGCTGTTGGTGGTGCATGCAGTCTCGCACCACTGTTGTGTTCGGTGTTGACAGAGGAATGGAGTTTTGCCGGGGTCTGTCTCCCAGTCATGAAGCTATAGCACATGGTGTTACGCCTGTCGTTTCTTTGGCAAGGAGCTGACTCCAAGTGCGTGCCTTGCCTGCAATGGATCGAGCCGCAAACCAAGATCATCAAGTAGCAAAGCTTGGTGTTGGCACTGGGCAGCATGCGGCGACATGTCTCAACGAAATTGCTTAGAAACCGCAATCCTGACCACTTTTAGGGCTTACAACCTAGAAGCATCCGTGCTTCAGTGGTTCTACCCTGCATGCTGGACGCCCTCTCGTTGCACTGTTCTCATGCCATGTTTCATCAGAGGTCTCGGCTGATGTGGATTCAAGAAGGGGTGGAAAGGAAGCTGGCACGCAGAGAGCGAGTTGTGAAACTTGGCGCATTCGTGATTGTCAGCCCAGGACTCCGAAGAGAGAGCATGGAAGCCACCGGCAAAAGCGCCGCCGCAATTCTTGTCTTTGGCCCAGTCTTCTGTAATCGTCTTGTTTTTGTCCAACGGTGGAATTCCTCAGGCTGGCTCCACGATCAGCCCCGTGGCTTCATGGGCTTCCGATTCTGTCACCGTGTCATGCCTTTGGTCGTAGATTCGAGCCAAGCCGGGCGAGCTTTACCCTCCGAAGACAGACACAGCGCTCAGGACCGTCCTATATCACCCGTGGTCCAAGCGGTGACAGATGAATTTGGCCGCCGATACTATTGGAACCACATGGATGCCACATCGAGTTGGCATCCACCTCCTCCACATATTGGCTTCTGGGAGCATCTGCTTGATTACAGGCCCGTTTGCTGTAGTTTCTTTTTCGTCGGCAGCTATTATTAAAAGCTGCCAGGACGGGGCGAGCCTATTTCGTAAATCGTGGTACCGGACAGACTTCTTGGGACTTGCTTGGCCGTCTACATCCGGGAGCTGAAGCAAAGGCTCATCTGGGGTACTTGTTGTCGTTTGTGGTCCTGCGAGAGTTTCATGGGGAAGGCGAAGCTTTCTGCGCCGTCTCCCAGCGCCTGGGTCCCACCTTCGACCCCGCCGGCACCTCCGTCGACAGTGCCCACAGAGGCCCCAAGCTCTGCCTGCGTGGCGAGCGTCAGCGTCGCAAAATCGACCGACGGGCAGATTGAAGGCACCGTGGCAGCTCATTGCAGCGGGGACGCTAGGGCTTTTAGGGTTCCCCAGCCTTTCCGAGATTCTTACCGGCACGATGCACAAAGCCCAGGCCGAAGGGAAGCACGGCTTCGCACAAGGCAAGCACTGGAAGAGATCAAAGCTCGCAGGCGCCGGAGTCCCGGACCTCCCGGTCCTTCGTCATCAGGCAATTTGGCGGCAATGCCCTGCAGCAACTAGAAACCTTTGAGGCCTCAGGCAGGGGTTGCTTGTGTTTGCCGTGCAGTTAAACTCTAATGACTCTAATTCACTGCTTTCGGACGTTGCTTCATCTTCGTCTCAGTTGTCATGTAACTCCACTCAGTCCCGGACTACGAAGCTGCGGAAGAGTTCCTTGAGTTGCCTGCGGGTGGTGGAGCCGAGAACCAGGCAGAGGACCGAAACGACGATGATGTGGAGGCTGACGCTGAGCCAGGGGAGCTTGTCTACAACGAGGAGGAGGAAGATGTGCTCCTCGCCAGTACATTTCGCCCGAAAGAGTTGGAAAGCAAACTTGCCAGGGACTAATCTTACTCGGCTGGACTTGCAAACAAAAAAGCTGCATAAAAGGCAAAGGTGTCCTGCCGTGTCCGAGTGATTGATCTGAGCGTCTGAGCGACGGTGCCTGGCGTGAAGGTTCATCACAGAAGGCGCTGAAGGAACACAGACGCACCCAGAAACGTTCGTTGAAGAGGGCGATCCAGGTGCTGGGGCACGCCCTAGTTCGTCAATGTGTGTGTGTGTGTGTGCGTGTGTGTGTGTGTGTGCATGCTGTTGTGCCAGGACGGTCATCCCAGACAGATCAGCAGGACATGTCAGACGAGGTGTCTGAACGTAGATTCGTGTTGGCAGTTGCGTCCTCGTTGGCAACGAGAGCTTAAACCAGAGGTCCTCGTGGATCTTGACCCAATTCCGGATGATGGGCAGGCGCACCTCAGCAGCAATGGGAAACAGCGCAGAAATCTTGACGCGGTCCCGCTGCAGTATGCAAGGTTCTGGGAACAGGATATGAGCATGGAGTTCGACTTAGCCAACAAGGACCTGTCAGCGCGAGCCTCTCTGTGAAGTGTTGACTATGGATCGGGGGCTCATCAGATGGCCGCAAGGATGATACTTTCGAAAGCGACGTTTTCGAACAAGAAGACTTGGATGACTTCGCAGACGAAGAGGCCATCAAGTAACATCCCTGCAATTCAGGAACTGCCCTTTCAGACTGCCTGTCCTGCAGCAGCAATCCGGCAAGCTTCTTGGGATGTGCCGAGGCACGAGCTGCTGTCCGAGATCCAGACATTTCGTGAGCGCAACTTGGAATGCAGTGCACAACACCACTTGCTTGGCTGAGGCATTATGTCTTAATTTAGGAAGATTTTTGTGTGTTGTTGTTTTGGCGGCTGGGCTGAAAGAGCGAAGCCGCGGAGGAAGCAAGGAAGGAATGAATGAGGAATAGAGGAGGGAAGGAAGGAAGGAAGGAAGGAAGGAAGGAAGGAAGGAAGGAAGGAAGGAAGGAAGGAAGGAAGGAAGGAAGGAAGGAAGGAAGGAAGGAAGCAAGGAACGGGGAACAAGCGAAGGAAACAATAGGATGAACCCGCTTGCAATGACCTGGACTTGCTTTGTGTTGTCCTGAATTCCTGCTGCCTTTCTAAACCCAGCTACCTTGGCGGTCCTTCACGTGCTGCACACATTTTTCAGATCCCTTGCCTTCGAGTCCGACGGAACAGGTCAAGAGGAGGAGGTGCACCCAGAGGGCGACATCGTGTGGCAAGTGGACGAGGAGGAGCTCCATGATATGGAGCACGAACAGGTGAGACCTGCCGAGGAGAGAGGGGTTCAGATCGCTTGCCATTTAGCAACCACTTTGGTCCAGAACAGCAAGCTCTCGTTCCTACCTCCTGGGCATGGGGGCTTAAACCCTCCGCTGCAGGAATTTAGATCTCATCAGGGGAAACAATCAAGCTTTCAAAGCAGGCTTACTCCCGTCGGTGCTGGGGCCTGACACACCAGAGAAAAAGAAGAGAGAGGGGAACACCATACCAGGCTGACAAAATGTGTCACAAGAGTTCCGCCTCCAGCTGTTACTCTCCAGCTGTTCTCTGATGCATCAATATGCTCGAGGCAGTAGGTCGACCGCAGGGGTCAGTCTCTTCGGGAACGGGATGGAGGGAGGGCAGTGGTCCGTGCACTGGTTCACGAGCCTGCGCGCAGGGTCATGGTCCCGGTGAACCGGGTGAGCCCGAGGCGGAGCCCGGTGATGGAAGGACGAAGGCGAAGGCCTCTCAGCTCGGTCATGGTCCTCGGCTGTGCTCTCTCTGAGCTTCGGCCGAGGTCATCCGACCTCCAATGCAGCCGAAGAGCAAGCACAAAGCCAAGCCGACACCGCCGTCCGAACCACCGCCAAACTGGCACAACGGCACCGAAAGTTCCCAGAACCGGGTGGAGCAGTCTTGACTAATGTGACTAACTCTTCTATCTGCTCTTTGCAAGATTTTGCAAGCCTCGCAAGAGCAACTATGTTCTGCCCGAGGCAGACCTCCACGACGATGCTGGCACGCAGTGGGCCCCATGGAGATCTCAGAAAGCTGGCGGCAAGAGACAGCAAGCCAAAGGCACATGGACAGAACAGAAGACTAAGAGGAAAGTGGAGTACGCTGGGAACTCGCCACCTGCACTGAGAAGGAAAAGTTGGAGCACTGACAATTGGGCTGGTCACGAAGGGCGCGGTTCCGAATGGGGTGATTCAAGCTGGGACGGCCCGAGCCATCAGAGAGGGTATCGCCATGCAAAGCCCATGGACAAGGCTCGATAGGTCTCCAACGATTGTTGTGTGCCGACAGCGTCCGATAGCTGCTTCCTTCAGGATTGGTCGCAGGATTGGAAAGCTTGGAAAGATGAGAGTACTTGGCAGCGAGGAAGCTCTTCCAGCTCCAATAGAGGCTTCGCCTTACGGTTTGAAGGATCGGAATCGGATGCGATTCCACGGTTGTGCTAAGAATGCGAACCTTCTCTCAGGTTGGAGCTGGAAGCGCCGCTGATGCAGCCCCGAGGAAAACAGTTGGCTCGGTAGTGTTGCCGCGCCGAGTCTTTGCAGAACATTCGTAGGCTTGACACTGGCTTTGACGAAGTTGTGATGGGTGTCTTGATGCAGAAGCGTAGGTGGATTGGACATCAGATCCTGGTCTTTCAGTTTCCAGGGTGTAGCAGGTTGCCAGCTTTCTGTCGGGCATGGACGAAGCTTTGGTGAGAACTGTTTTAATACCTGAGCCTGATGACCTGATGCTAACAACAAACACTTACAGAAGCGGATCCCCATGCACACGCGGTCGGAAAGGGTAGAGTGTTTCTAGACCATGGAGTGCCATGGCGGGCAAGGCATCAAGTTGCCTGGCTGCCTGTCCTGAGTTTGCACCTCAGTGCGGGCATGAGCCATACCACCGCATGTGCGGTATCCAGGGCGCTAAGTAATCACTCCGTTGCAAGGTTGCAGCTTCCTGCTAGCAGCATCACGTATCTTGACTCCGTACTGTCGGAACTCAGTGCTGAAGAGACCGAAGATCCTTGCCGCGATTTCGCAGTCTCATGAGCAGTGCTAAGAAGAGACAAAGATGTGGCATTTACCATGGATCGCTTAGCCGCTGAGTCCCAGGACTATGCTGCCCTGCGCGCTCTGCTCGAGCCTTTTCTCTTGGATGCATTGACGCTTAGTCTGAACGCGCGTATTGAAGGCAGAGTCTGCTCGCACCAAGTCGTGGCGCTCAGGAAGCAGAACGGGCGCGAGACACCGCACAACAGTACCAGCGATACCAAGGTGGAGATTCTGTGTTTCATTGCTGCATTTATTCGCTGTTTGAGCTTTGTTTAAAAACAGCTCAGATTATTGAAGCTGTTTTCTGATGGTCATTTGTGCTTCATTGACCAGGTCAGTTGCTCTACAACCACCTCAGAAAGGAAACGAACAATTCGCAACGAGACTCGACTTGAACACAGCTTTCTTGGGTCCAGACTTATCACGCCGCAGATGCATTCAGTATTATCGGATTAGCGTTGCCAACCTTGGAAACATTGTCGCATCACTGCTTGGGCACTCTATGAGCCTCCAAACTCGAGGAGGAGGTGCTCTGCCTGTGATCAACAAGGGGCTTCCAAGCAGGGTCCTGGTGTTGACACCAAACCATATAGCTGGAATCACCTGTTGGTCAGGGATGTGGCATGCATGTCCGTGGCTGCAGAAAGTTTTATTAAGGACGGTTGGGCGAGACACCACATATCTCTGCTGCCTTGCGGAAAGCTGCCGCTTCCGCTACTTGGAGATGCACGAGTGACACGACCTTTTAAGTTTTAGGCACTTAATCTTCGCGTGGCTCAGGTCTCAGACAGGTTGCAACTCTCAACAAATCTGGCGACTTGGCTTCGGTGCAGTCTGCCTGTGCGTGTTCGTGTCCAAAAGCTTCAGGGCCCGAACTCCTTGGCCGTGACGGTTGCTGCAGTGCCGGGACTGTTTGGCTCAAGGCCGAGGCGAAGAAATCTAACTCTGCCCAATGCGGTCTGAAGCGTGTGTGTCCTGTCACTTCGAGGTGTCATAAGTTAGCTTCGAAGTGCAAGGAGTGATATTACAAGCTGTAGCTTCTCGGTGCTTCCAAGCCCTTGAAGCTGGGTCCGCAATGGAAGAACGTCGTCTCAGTGATGGAACCTGCTGGCCTTCTGCATGCCGCTGAAATCAGCGATCTTGCAATCCGCGCTGTTGCTGCAAACAAGCGTTTCGCGGCAGCCCGAAGGTAAGTCACATGGGGCCTTTTTTTGGGTGATGACCAGACTTCTTGTTCTTGCAATGTGCAATCAGTGCAATCGTTTCATGTCAGCATGTTCCTGCAAAGGATATGTTGCCACTTGCGCAGAAGACTGCACTGCGCGTCTGTATGACTGGCGTCTCAGATGCGACAACCTCTCTAGACTCGTAGAGTCCCAGACTGTCAAAACTCGGCGGTTGATGTGCCATTCAGCATGGTGGTAGACACGCAGCTCCTTAAGGAAAGGCACGCTCGTGCACACCTTTCAGACGGCTCAGAAGACTCGAAATGTGGCCCTGTCTGTGTCATGTCGAGAACAAGCACAGTTTTTGAGGAGTTCTTGTCTGCATTTTAGGCCACCTTGTCTTGTTTCAAGACTGCTGGTCGAGAATCGAGGACAAGTATTTAGCAACTGGCGAGAAGAACGGACAAGGAGAACTTTTTGATTTGAGCAAGCGGTGGCCTGACTGCAACTATTGTTACTAAGCGGCTTCTTTTAGTCTGCTGGCATGTCTTCAAGGTGGTGCAGCAAGTTGGCTTTGCAGTTTTCAGGAATCATGCATCAACTTTCCAATTTCCGGGCAAAGTGACCATGACAATGTACAATGTGGCAATCACTGCAGAGCACGTTCTCCTATCGCTGGCTCCTCAGACCAGCCTGCGTTCCAACATGGTCGCCGACCCCTCTATGTGCTTTATACTCTCGGAGCTCTGCTGTTAGCCTTCGCCCCAACTGCAAAACTTGCAGACGAAATGGGCCTAGTTGACGGCTGAACGGAGTGGCACACACTCGAAAGAGGCACAGGCAGGGCACAGGGTTTGCAAGTTCAGAGTCCAGCACCCCACCGTCCGCTGTGTCGACAGGTAGCCCGATCTCCCAGTCCCGATGCTCCGGGTATCACTGCACAGCGGTATAGCTGTTGACGAGTTTCACGAATGTTGAGGTCCTGCCGCGGCTTTGGCGTCAAGACGAATGGTGAGGAAATCTGCAATGCACATTGCGAAAGTGCAAATCAAAACAGCGATTGGCTGTGAGGACCGGAAGCTTCATGTTGCCAATCTGTACAAACTGGATGGCTCATTGCTACATACTTTGGACCACGGATCCCTGGTCGGTCGCGCGGGCATATGCCGCTTGCCCAGATTGGGAATGTTTCGCATAGGCCCGTAGCATATGTACCAGACATTGATTAAAGTTGCGTGAAGTGTCTCCGCGATCCATGCTGCGCGATCCAATCCTCTCAAGGTCTCAATGAGACGAAGGCAGCTACCTCTGGCGAAGATAAAGTGGTCAAGGTATCCGGCTTGCTTTCATCGATGAGTCAATCTGAAATAGTACCCGGCGGAAGGTCTGGGAACTCTCCTCGGGCCAGCTCCTTCACATTATTCCAGCAGAGAAGGCGATTCGGCTTTTGCATGCATTCCACACTTCTCCAGCCCTTTCTGGCAAGAGGAGCGCAGTCCTGGTGTGCGCTTCCTTGATGGCCAGCTGCTCCTGTCAGGCCGGCTCTGGCCCGTGCATTTAAAATTTGAACTTCGGCCATAGCCACAGCAATTGTTCTGCATACTACAGGAGCCTCGAACGTTGCTATCTACGACTTGAAGATGGGCAAGCTGGAGCGTCAGCTCGAGGTGCCTCGAGCTGCTCGGCTCAACGGATTGTGGGCAAGCGAGCAGACGTCGTGCCGGAAAGGTCGACGGTAGGACAGGGATGCCAGGGCGATGAAACTCAGAGAACCTGGGGCCAGAAAGGGCCTTGTGCTCCCCAGGATGTACCAGCTTTGGTTATGTGGCAGATTGCGTGTAAAGTCCAGGTGGAACGGGGCACCCTTCGGGCAACTCCACAGACGTATCCACGCCTCGCAGCTGGTGGCAATTATGTTGTGTCAGCAAGCGAAGACCGGCATGCAAGCGTTTGGACATTCTCTGACGGAAGACTTCTTTGCACTATTTCGGATGAACGACGTATTTCTGGTGACTTCTACGCGGCCGTTTGCAACGAACGTTTGGCCTTAATTTGTGGGAAATCTCTCAAGATATACGACCTGTCTGTCCATGCTGGCTACAAGCGCGCTGTTTCGGAGGGCCTCGGTGTCTCGCTGCGCTTTCTCATCGATCCAGCACAATTTTCACAAATAGCTCAAGAAGCGGCGGGAAAGGCAGGAGCATGCATCACAGTGCTCAGATAATGCTTGTTGTTCTGGTGATTCTGGTCGCCATTAGTGCACAAAGCGTGCGAGGCATTGCAGGCTTCAGGGTTCCAAATTCGAAAGACTTGCTAGGAGAATCCTAACTTCCACGAACTGGCGCCTGTCATCGCCTACGGTCCCACAGCTTTGGGCTCTGGCTCCGTGTGTCCTCGCGATGGTCGCCCAGGATGTGCTCTTGTGGCGACTTGTCTCCACAACTGACTTCAGCCTGTCACTTGGAGTTGTCGGTAAGTTGCTCTGTCCTTTCAGAGGATGTGGTGCCTTCCGGGCCAGCGACGCATTTTCTGTCTTGGGCTTGGTCCTATCAGCTGCAAACAGTCGTGCTGGCGCTGCGGCACTGGGGTGAGGACCCTGCAGCTTTCGATGTGTTGTGAGAGAAGCGATTCGTGCATCGCGTTGCCACTGGAAGGACACTGGCAATGAAGTCAATTCTGATCAGTGCTTCGGCCAACAGGTCTTAACACCGCAATTGTTGTCACGTGGCTTTCCGCTTTGACTCACAGGGCTTCTGGAATGTCAACTGTTACATGCTGACGCATCGATCCTATGCCTTCTTACGCTTCAGCCTCCAGAAACGAGGGTTTTCCTCCCAAATTGCGGCATCGAGAATTTTCTTTTGACGCTGTTTCCAAAGTCTGTCGCGCTCAGTCAGGACATTCATCTGGATCTGCTTCTTTTGCAACAATCAAGAACGGATCCTCAACGAGAAGTCCAAGGAGGGCTCGGATGACCTGGAGACAACATTCCAGTCTCGTCTGCGATCTATTGGGCACGTTCTCGTGTTGTTCGACAACTGGAGCAAGCCTTTCTACCTGATGCCTGAAGTCAATTCAGCCTTCACTGTCAAAGTGTTGTTGGGATGTGAGACACAATGCAGAAGCCTGAAGTTGGTATGTAGATGGTTTCCTTTGCTAACTCCCACAAATATTTTAACAAGAACCCCGGATTTGCCTGACATGAAATGGCGAGCGGCAACTTCAACATGCACCGCAGGCCAACGCATTCATGCGTGAGGTCGGCGATCTCCGCCTGCCTACACCCTAAACCCTCCTAAACCCTCCTCAACCCTGAACCCCAGATCCGATTCCCAAACTCGAAACCCTCATCTGCACGGCAGCCTCCAACTGGAGACCGCTACCACCGCTGGCCACCCACTTCTGGCGGAACATGGCCAATCGTTGGTCCGGTAAGCGCGTCTCTTAGGGTTTAGGATAGTTTAGGGCTTTAACCCTAAACCCTAAGCCACAGCGGCCCAAGCATGTGTATAGGTCGGACTTCCAAGGACGCGGGTCTGGTGCATCTTTGAGACCTTCGTTGCAGCCGCGAGCTTGGTTCTCACGTCACGCACATGTCCCGGGTCTTTTGAGTGGCATGCTGCTCGTGTTAAGGCGAAATCGGATATTTCTTACACATTGATATTTCCGCCGGATTCTGCCGAAAGCATGCACGGGGCCTTGCAACGTGGGATGCACATGGAAGTCACCAAAGACTGGAGCAGCAACTTGTCTTCATCTCCGGGTGCCAGCTAGCACATAGACACATCAGAATGTACAGTGCTCTGACTGTTCCAAAAGTTCATTAGGATGCGAATCAAGGTATAGATGTGGCACATGCGACAGCCAGTCGCCCCGTGGATGAAGAGAAGGTGAAAGGCATGATCTCGCGCACTTCATCGTTTGACGAGGTGAACAGTGCTCCTTAATGCAGAAAGTGAGGGGCTGTGTTGGGGTGTGCTCGCATCAAGCAGACCAAAAGTTTCAACTTCTTGCAATCGGTAGCTTCTTGCCTGAGGTTGTCAAGGACCATTTGGTAAATTGGCATCTTGGTGTATTTGTGCAAAGCCTTTGCCTGCCTAGTTTACGCGCATCGTAAAATCATCATGTTTGTCTTGCATTGCCATGTGATCCCATGAGTGACGACCCTTGCAACATGACGGAAAAGTGTGCCGATGCACCGATCCAAGAGTCCCTCTATTTCGCAATGCTAGGTTCAAGAAGCAGTTCCAGGCTCGGAGCAAGGGTGGGGCTCCAGGGACTCGGGTGGAGTCGAGTAAAGTTGACTCTCGTGATGTGACTTGATGTGACTTGCCAGGCGGTTTTTGAGCAGGGCGTGCGAGACGGCCCGGGGCCGCCTCAGCTTCGGACCAGCTGCGAAGCTTCGAAGGACATGCGATATCCGAGTGGCAGAGCATGAGAGCAGAGGAAGTCTTCCCATGTCTTCCTCTTTTGGAATCCGGACAGGCTGAACTTGCCCAGGCGCTGGAGGACCGACTGCTGCTCCTATTTGGTTCTCCTGCCGTACTGTTCCCACGGGCGAGCAGGCTCTTTTGAGCGCTCGGCATACACTGTCCAGGAGCGAGATGCAGAGATCGTGCGGCTGACCGCGGCATGTGCTTCAAAGGACATGTGCTATCCGAGAGAGTGGTTGGCACGAGCTGCTATTTTTGTTGGGTGTTTTTTTCTGCAATCCTGGCTTCGCAGCCGTTCTTACTGGGTTCTCGGCGTTCCGGCTTTTGGCATTCGGCAGTCGTTTTTCGTCGCTTCTTGACTCCGGCAGCTTCTTGACTTGGTATACTACTCAGCGAGCACGACACGGGACGCACCCGCAAGCAGGAGTGCATGTAGTTTGGCGCAAGTGCAAGAATGCTGGCCAAGCCATCATTTTCGAGACATCCTTCCCTGTTTGTTTTTGTTGGTCTCCGGCCACTTGCCTTGGCCAAGCCATCTTGCATCTTGGTTCCAGCTCCACCATGGGCCCCACTTGTGCTTGTCTTTACCGCTGGGCCCACTCGGCTTGCCATCCTCCATCCTTGTCCTTGCTCTTTCGCTCCCTTCTTGTCCTTCCCCTTGGTTTGTCTCAGCTGTGCCTTGGACTGTTGACACGACCATGGGGCGTTGACCGCTCTTCCCAGAACGGCTTGGCACTTCTTCAATCGCGCCATATGCAATGAGCTGCCGATGCAAACCCCCCTTGAAGGTCCAGGATGCCATCTGAATCGCTCCTTCGAATCTCCTTCAGCACTCTCAATGCCTCGACGCCCTCGACGCCTTCCTTCTCAAGCCCATGCACGAACAGGCTGAGTCCTTTCATCAAAGGCGTGCGTGCAACATCCATGTGCTCCGGCAGCTGAAAGCGCTATTCCTGCCATGTGGGCCGGCCTTCGAACATTCGCTTGTCGTTCGGCCGCCTCAGCGGCCCTGCATCACTTTGGCGTCAACCCGCTCCGGAACCTCTGCGCTGCAGCACCTTTCCAAGACTGACACATTTGCAGGGTAGCTTTTGGCACCCAGAAATGACGGCCTTCAGGGTCTAACAAAACTTCGATCCGGCTGGCTCTCCAGGCCTGCAAGCACTGACAGAAAGTTCTTGTACAGGGAGACTGGCCGGTTGTGTTAACAGCTGTGATGCAGGAAAAATATCGGCTGTAATTGGAATGTAAAGAGCCGGCCGGAGTGTTCCCTGCTGCCATGCACTTGTTTCGTCTGGGCCTTCGAGGAAACTGAATTCACCCGAAAAGCTCCACTTGTAGGAGAGGAGAGGGAGTATTTATCCGTTTAGCACCTGAGCGATCGGGCATGTGTTTTGGGCAGGATGAAGAACTCACCCAGGTAAGAAAGGCGCTGGAGGACCGGCTGTGCTTACAGTGCATTCCGTTGTGCAGCGGAAAACAGCAAGTCTCTTTGAACGAAGCTTCTCAGCTTACTCTGTCCAGGAGCGCGATGCAGAGATCGTGCGGCTGACGGCTCTGCTGCCGGCTGGAAGCGCTGCCAGGGCTGCCAAGTCAGACCTACTCGATGCTGGCGCTTCCGAGGTCCCACCAGTGTTGCAGTTCGCGCCTGTAGAGCCACACCTCCAGCAAGACAGGTCCCGGTCAGATGAGACGACAGTCCAGCTTAGAAAACACATCCAAAAGGATAGTGTGATGCTCGAATTGAGTTCAAAGCAACTTGCGCCTTTGTCAGAGTTTGCCTTGTAGCTCCGCGTGCTGCGTTGTCGTCCCGAGAGACGCATTTGTAGATGGTTGCACGGAGCAAGTTAATGTCCAGCGCGCGGCCACCGGACCAAAGGTCAGAACGGCCACGACCGCAGTAAATGCACAGCTGCCGCAGGTATCGTGTGGATTAAAGGCATTTCTTCAAGGCGTGCTCTTGCTTCAGCACAAGGCCCGAGGATCAAGAGTTGCTGTGCAGCTTAAGGTAGACAGCTTGGCTATTTCCCTGGCAGCGATGACGTGGGCCGAGCTTTCCGTTGATGGCAAGCCTTGCGCCTTGCTTCGGAAAGCTGTTGTAAATGTGTCAAATTGCAATCAGGCTTTTCCCCCATCGGGCACTTGTAGATGTGCAGAGCCTGCCGGGACGAGCCACTTGCAAATGACTCGAGCCATCTCACGTCGATCACCTTTACGCCACCGCCACCGCCGCCACCGCCGCTGCTGCTGCTGCTGCTGCTGCTGCTCCTGCTTTGACTTCCAGATTTTATGGAAGCTGTAGAATCTGTAGAACGTTTCTGCCACAAGCTTAGCCAGATCAGGGCCACAGCTCGATGGTTCATGCATAGGTTTGCGAGCGAAGGTGATCATACAATGGCGGAGATCTTGGCGCCCTCACTACAGGCCAAAAAAGTGCATGTGCAGCAAGTTCCAACAGACGAACGCATGACAGGAGGCCTTCCATGAGTGTGGTGATTGGCCTGCAAGTGAGGCAGGTGCCCAGCACACAATTGCTCTTAGCGGGTCTGAGTCTTGGGCATGGTCTTCACGCGCAGGACATGGAAAGAGCAAAGTTGCCTCTGGGTTGCAACTTTATGGCCAGCTGACCGAACTGCTTGCGTCGCTTGCGTGCATAAGAAACTTTTGCATTGCAAGATGTTGGTGGAATGCTGTGGAGCTGTGCTGTTTCAAGGATGGCGGCAGCCCTTCTGGAACAGCTACGAGATGATGACTAGTAGTGGCGGAGGACAAGGTACAGGATGGTACAAGAGCAGAGCAGGTGCCGCGGGTCTGCCTTGGTCTTCTGGACTTCCTGGCTTCTTCCGTTCTCGACGCAGCAGAGCTTCACGGCGCAAGGCAAGTCGCTTCGCTGTGTCATGGTGATAACGGTTTGCTCTGTTCTCGTCCCGTACTCATAGGGAGCCAAAGTAAGCCTTTTCTTGGAGGGCCGACGCCTTTTTCAATGCTTGGAGTCTGCAAAGCCTGCAGACCCGAGTAAAAAAGAGATGCGCTCGCTTCCACCGATTGCGACATCCGAGCACCCAGCTCATAATCTGAATTCCTGTTGTTTTGCTGCTCACGCGCCCGGTTTGATTGTACTCTTCTTGCGTTCTTCTCTCTGCTTCATCTGCTAACAGGCGGACGACTTGCTGGAGGTAATCATGCACTGATGGCACTGGGCGTACACGATGATTCGGAACGACGTCTTTCTCGCAGTTGAATCCGGTATCCAAAAAGGGATTCGTGCCTCCTGTCGTATCTGGCAGAGCTTGACACTCGAAAGGCCTGGTAGAATGCATGTATATGCGACAACTTGCAGTTTCTAAGCCTCAAGTCGAAAGCTACAGTTGCTGTGCTCATCATGGTGTCTTGGCTGGTTCAGCTAGTTGTGATGAACGATGGTCATGCTTCCGCAGAGGTCTGCTTGTAATGTCTTTTCAATTCGCTGCGATCTGCCGAGGCCCGACAGTCCATGCGCAAGTCGCGACCTGTTGCAGCGGCTGTTGCCGCTGCTCTTGGTGCTTGCTACCTGACCACTGCCTTCGCCGCATGTCTGAAGACATCCAGGGTTCGAGGGCTGTAGATTCTGTACTGTCGTGGTGTACTGCCGAATCATTCGAGTTTGGGGCAGGTGATGCCGCCGGCAGAAGAAGGCTCCAAGCTGTTTTGTCGAGTGTCATTGAGTGTCATTGCTGCCATGTTGCAGTGTCACGATGCTTCGAAGCCTTTGTGTGCCAGGCCCCGCGGCAGCGGGGCGGCGTGAGGCCTTGCTGGGCCTGGCAGGCGCAGCCGCGACCCTGTCCTCGCAGCCGGCGGAAGCATTCGAGGGAGCAGGCCAATGGATGGGCTACTACGCTGACCCTCAGCACCCAATGTGCCCGCGAAAGATCGTCTACGAGTATGACCTCTACGACAAGGCGCAGATGATGGTGGATGGAGGCGACGGCAACCCTGGGTGCGAGAAGAAGGTGCTCTCGAGGTGGACGGCCAAGGTCGACTGGAAGGCAGGCTCAGACGAGATTACCATCGACTTCAGCAAGAAGGGCGGACCCGCTGGCGTTGTTGGAAAGTGGGACACTGACGGAATCGTCTTCCCGGACAGCAAGCCTAAACCCTAAACCCTAAACCCTCAACCCTAAACCCTCCTATCGCACCCCGGTGATCGTGAAAGTGCAGAGGACGGCAACAAGTGGAAGAAGATCATCTCCTACAACACTGGCAACGGCCAGGGGATCTGAGTCGCAGCATCTGTGCCTCTGTCTCTGAGGTTTTTTCTGTAGCGCAGAGGACACAACACAGTGTCCCCGCTGGAGAAATGGCCTTGGTGCATCTCTCAATAGCATGGGTCGCCACAGTTGCTGAATGCGAGTGAGCCTTGTGAAGATCCAGCCTTTCAAACGTGCAACTTCT